ATCTACACTGACTCTGTACCCAAGCTCGTCTGCTTCTTTATTTTCCCCCTGTGCAGTTACCCCCTGGCTTTCCTCACATGGCAGGCATGGAAGCCCAGTCACGTCGTGTGCGATAAGTCTTTCCCTCCCTACCCCGCCACCTACCTCTACATGCTCTGCAGTGTCTATCTGAACACGCTCTTCTATCCGGTCTCTGTCAGTATTGTAGTATCACACCTACATCAGATACGACCACCACACCGCGTAAGATTGGCATAGTGGTGTTTAAATGGAGCACGCGTGCAATACGTGATCAACACTGGTTCCAAAAAGCAGTTAATATTAGGTGCACCCTCACATCGTGGCAGCAACACAAACGTGAATCACAAGCTGTTCTGTCCCTCCTGGTCTTTATCGGCATCCTTATCGCATGTGAATGGATTTCGAAACAGCACGAGCGAAAACACTGGACGCGAGTACTTCTTCGATGTGCTACGCCTAATTTCCAAATGTGCGTTCTACGATCTGACTTTCGAGGGGAGTGTGGGCTTCGGTATCTTACTGAAATGGTTCGTTTGGTCTGGGACCCTGCCTCCCAACCGCATGCAGCATTATGCTACTCAGCATTCTCCTGGGAGTCTGGAACCTGGTATGTGGGGCGTGCTAAGTGCACTCATCCGCGCAATCGCACGGTGCGTTCTGGGCTGCAAGGTCGTTTTTGGGAGCATTTCCAGGCCACCTTCAACGGGAAAGGAAACCAAGCTGGACGCCCGCGGTATCGTTCCTGGCGTTCGTCTTCGTCCTGGTCGTTCGTTCTCGTACCCATGGTCTTCAGCACTGAGGCGAGAACTGCCCAGTACGAGGCCTTGGCAATTAGAGTACTGCGGCCCCCAACCCAATGCGGAACAGGACCAACTCAGCGAGGGCAGGGTCCGGAACCACGCCCGTTCCCGAGGTTCCGGACGCATCCCACCCTCGCAGACGAGTCTCGACTCAATTTGATATGCCGTCTACGGGAAGACCAGGCGATGCGGAGCCGTCTCCCGTCTATTGATACCTCGTTTGCTGCCTTGCTGGGTTGGGCTCGTCAGCGCTACGATCTTTCCAGAGATGAAGTGGTGCAGCGTCTCTACCGCAGAGGCTACGAGCTCTGGCTGGCAACGTACTTGGGGGAGCGGCACACCCGCCTGCGCTATCATACCGCATGGCGTCATGGTTGGTTGGTCGAATATATCCTATCTGTCTGGATTCTCTGCTCACGCCTGACGTATGAACGTGCTGTCATCGCAAGAAGAAATGAACGATTCATGCCGTCGGGGAACATTATCCCGTCGAGCATCAAACTGTTCAGATTGCCGGATACCTCACACGTGTTCGTACAACATTGTCGTCGCACGCTTAGACAATACGTATATTGGGTGTGTCAAAACATTCGTTCTCCCAATATTGCTCTCTACCTGCGTGCAATGACAAAAATATTGTGTGTACGACCTCCTAAAGTTTCTGATCATGTTACACAACAGCGGCAAGTATGTCGAGATTTCTCCCACACAGTTTGTCAATATCTGCTACATGACCCTCGGTGCCAGCATATCCTGGCACATGACGTTGTTTGGCTGGATCAGCACTGGGATGTTCCTGCCACGCTGCCTCTCTCCTTCGTCTTCTTCGATTTTTGCCAGCAGCTTGCCTCATACCATTCGAACCTACAACTGCCGGGGTGCGTCAAGGCACATTGGTTATTCGAGCATTGGGGCGACAGGTACGCATCTCATGTACCTTGTGTTACTGGTCTGGAGCTGCACGCATGCCATATACGAGAATCCCTACCCCACCATGTATTCATACCTTTGGATAAGGACCCACACAGACGTGTATGCATACCCCGTAGTTGCTATTTCTGGAAACTATGGGAGTGGCTTTGCGAAGACGCCGTACACTACGAGCACTGCCCGCACCTACATGCTAAAGGAGTTGCCCGGCGTCTTCAAAAACTGGTCGACAAATACATCCCCAAAAAGCACCAGAACCCCGAAATTACACATGTACATCATCTTCCGCACGCGTACCTTACCATCAAAGGCAAGTGCCTTGATCGCACGAGTGGCGCACTCACGTGTACACGCGCGCATGCACACCACGAGGAGATCGTCGCCAATTGCAAGAACACTCAGCGCAGATTCCTCTGGAAGGCTGCCCGAGCGCTACGTTTGGCCAACCAGCATTCTGGAGATATTTCTTGGTCGCTCTGGGAACCCCGTCTCCTACCGAAAGTGTTGGCGGAGCGTGTCCGTCGTCTTCGCACCAATGGCCAATTTACGTTTCGGTGCCTTTATGGAAATCCGAAGTCGTGTATATCTTGGCTTAAATGTGACGCCAGTCAGATTTTTAAAGATGCTGACGTCGATCGTGGTGTCCGTCGGTGTTCGTTGTTCCTGGACCGGGCCTTCAAACGGCATGGAAAAACAGCAGTGGCAGTCAAACGGGGTTCGAAGGCAAAAGGTTTCTTATGTCGTAGTGGAGATCGCGTTCCCTCTGATCATGATGTATACACATTCGCTGATATTCGCAGGGCTCTCAAGTTCGCTTCCAAGGATATCCATTTTATGATGGGCAAAGACATATTCTGCCGTAAGCGGGGGTGGCCATGGGTGGCAGCATGTCTGAGTCCACCACCTTGGGCGACCTTGGAGAGAACGTCCATCGCTTATACACGGAAGCAGGGTATAGTGCCTCCATCGGTCTTGCATGCCCGGGGTTTTCGACAGCAGAGCTCATCCAAGGCATCTTATATGTCGACGACAGTCTCGTGTTTAGCATGGTTTTTTGTGAGAGTTGCCTTGAACGTGCTGTGCGCATGCTCTGGCCCCCGGACGTCGGGGTCACGGTGGAAGGTCGGGGCCTCCATCTCACATACCTCCAGGCGCACATCCGGCCGACAGGCTTATCGTACGAGGTGTGCCCATTCTTCCCTAACGCAGAATTTGCCCGTGGACAGGCAGACCAACCCCAGTTGGCAAAATTTCCTCATTACCCCTCCTCGTCTGCCACACTCTCATTTCACCATGTGCGTCCCTTGGTTTTGGAACGAGTTCTCAGTCACAACAGTGTGGCCGAATGGGATCCGTGCCGTGCTCAAGATGTTTTCGTGGACCTTGTTTGTGAGATATTGCGCTTGCAGTGGCCCCCGCAATGGCTTGCACAGACGTGTCGCAGCATCCCTCGGAAGCATCGCTCAGAATTCTTGGCTGTCGTCAAGGTTTTCGGCCGAATCCTGCAAGGACTACATCGAGAGGGTTTGGGGGACTTTCTGCATGCGGATGGATCTCAACATTACGCGCTCACACACCGTGTTCTCCATGAGACATATGCATGGATCTGCCGAGCAGCCTAAATATTCTTCATGCACCGTTATGCCCATCGTGCCTGCAGCCCATCTCGGCCCTCGCCGCGTACAGAACTCTCCTCCCCTGCACTGGTGCTGCTCCATTGCCGGTCCCATGGGGTCTAGGAACCGCTACAACCAGTACGGGCAGGGGGGCAACGGCAACGGCAAGGGCAAAGGCAAGGGCAAGTCCATAGGCTACACGCCGTATGGATCGCAGCAGCCTCTATGGATGGCTGGAGGGATCTCGGGCATCGATGACTTGAACCGCCGCCTGTATGACTACGAACAGGCTGCAGTCATGGAGGAGCAAGAACGGTCCTTCGTGAAAAAGATCACGGCAGGTGCGGAGGCAGCTGTGCGCAAGCTCCTGGGGATCAAGAGCAAGCATGATGAGAAAGGGAGGAGGAGCCAGCGTGACGGCAAGCGTGCACCTTTCCGCTTCTTGAGGATGGCGAAGAGGCTTGCCATGTCTGAGGAGTCGGAGTCTGACGAGGATTCGGACAGCGACCACGCCGGATCTGGCCTCATGAAGCAGATGCTCCGCAAGATCATGCAGAAGCAGACCCCCCCCCCCCGAAGATGAGGTCATCAAGTGGGTGAAATCCCTGCAGACTAGGATGGGGAACCCGCCTGGCGGAGCCCGCAAGTACACGGAAGAGGAGTTCGTCGAGAGGCTCAAAGAGGTCGTCGCAGCCAAACACGGCACCACGAAGAAGAGCCTCGATGACATCTTGGGTGATTTCGTCGAGAACGCAGGCCTGGCCAGGTCAGGGGCAAGTGGGAGCGACCGTCGTGCCACGCCATCGGGTGGCCAGCAGGGCCTGCGTACCTTGGCCGTCCCCAGCCAGGATGAGGAGCCCGAGGAGGCGGAACACACGGAAGCAAAAGCACTGAAGTACGTAGCCAAAGTCGTCTGCCCCGACACTTCATTGGAGGGCTGGCCGCAAGAAAGTGCCGGCTTCATTTCGCGCCTGGCCGAGGAAACAACGCAGGCGAAGTTGGACACGATCTTGAAGAAAAACAACTTGAGCACGTCCATCGGGAAGACCAAAGCGAGGAAAATCGAGCAGCTCATCCAGTTCGTTACTGGCAAGGGCTGTGGCGCCATGGCCTAGAAGATAAACCTAACAAGAATACAGCACTACAAGATCAAAATCGCCAACCATGACGTTGCGCCGAGTGAATAAGATAACGTGCCTGGTCGTTCTCCTACCAGGAATCCTACTCCTCGATGTCTGCTCGATGGGGGTCGAGCGGATCACACTGCTACGAGGATACGCAAGTCTCGCCGCAGCCCTTGGACTATGTTGTGTAGCCCTTCAAGCTGCTGCGGTTGTTGTGGCGGGTACAGCAGCAGCCGCAGTAGAAGCAGCTTTCTGTGAGAGAGTTGATTGCACACCCGTCCTGCATGTAAATCTCACGTTGTACCATAACTTGCTCAGCTCACTTCTCGTTTCTCTTGCGTCTTGGGTCCTCTATCTCATCTCTCTTTCTCTCAACTTTTGCCTTGCTGTTGCTAAGCTTGGCGTCATGTTAACAACGTTCCCGAAAGTAGCCGGAGTCATACTCTTGCTAGCGTGGATCTGCTCAGAGGAATAGTGCGCAAATGCCATGCGTGCTGCAGCCCATTTAGCACCAAGCGGTGATGGCGTAAACCCCAGTGGCACACTCCAAAGGTGGCCGGGTGCTAGCAGATGTGGTGAAAATGCATGTCTGGTCTACCAACAAGCAGCAGGAAGCGGGGGAGGGTAAAGAGGAGGAGCAGAAGCAGGAGGAGAGCGGAAGGGGGAGGAGGAGGAGGAGGAGGAGGAGGAGGAGGAGGAGGGAGGAGGAGGAGGAGGAGGAGCAGCAGCAGCAGCAGCAACAGCAGCAGCAGCACCAGCAGCAGCAGCAGCACCACCACCACCACCAGCAGCAGCAGCAGCAGCAGCAGCAGCAGCAGCATAAGCAGCAGCAGCAGCAGGAAGCGGGGAAGGGGGAGGAAGAGCAGCAGCAGCAGCAGCAGCAGCAGCAGCAGCAGAAGCAGGAGAAGAGAGGGAGGAGCAGCAGCACCAGAAGAAAGAGGAAACGGCGAAGGAGGTGGAGCACCAGCGGAAGCAGGAGGAGAAGCGGGGGGACCAGGAGGAGGAGGAGGAGGAGGAGGAGGAGGAGGAGGAGCAACACCAGCAGCAGGAGCAGAAGGGAGGGAGGCGCAAGAGCTGGAGCACAGGAGGGAAAGGGGAAGCACAACAGTCTGCGTTCCGCACCGTGCCCGCTGAAAGGACGATGGCAGTGCTCAAAGAACGTGGCTGGGAGCCTGCCCGAGCGGGCGGCCCAGGGAGTCTCTTGGAACGCCTCTCTCTGAGCACCGACTTCAGCTGGCTCCCCGCCGCCCCACGAATCCAGGGCAGTCGCTCGGGCTGCGTGGCTCGAGCCAGGGCGAGGCGAGGCGGAGCGATGTGGAGCCCCATTGGAAAGCCCCAGGGGGTCTTGTACAGCCCTGGCTGAAAGGACCCTGAGATCTGGGCGTTGCACTGTGTTTAGGCTGGGCGCTTTCGCCCAGTTTCGAACAATGTCGCAGAAAGATGAGGCCCAATTAGGGCTCCAGTCGTGAAGTTCTGCGATGCTGCGAACTTGATCGCAAACTCGACTCTCAGGGGAGGGCCGACGAAATGAGGGGAAACGAAGCAGGGGGTGCTGGCTCAAGGGAGGGGTGGGTGGGTGGGGGGGAAATATCCATTTGAAATCGGCGACATATCACCGATAAGTCGCGGACAAGCCCCCGATGCCAAGACCGCACGTTCCTGGCAAGGTGGGGTACCTAGGCAACGATCGGCGAGAAATGAGCCCAAACGCCCGGTGTGGGAAACTTATCCCGGCAAAGCAACCTAACAGCGATGTGTAGGAGCATATCTGGAAGCATTCCCCTTAAGATTCAGATGAGAATTTAGTTGTAGAATTCTGCTGTTCTCGCAGTCGTAGTCGCATTCGCGATGACAGTCGCAGTGGCCTGCATCAGCCTCAGCCTCAGCCTCAGCCTGCCTCAGCCTCAGCCTGCCTCAGCCTCAGCCTCAGCCTCAGCCTCAGCCTCATGCCTCAGCCTCAGCCTGCCTCAGCCTGCCTCAGCCTCAGCCTGCCTTCAGCTCAGCCTCAGTCTGCCCGCAGCCTCAGCCTCAGCCTCAGCCTCAGCCTCAGCCTCAGCCTGCCTCGGCCTCAGCCTCAGCCTCAGCCTGCCTCAGCCTCAGCCTGCCTCAGCCTCAGCCTCAGCCTGCCTTCAGCCTCAGCCTCAGTCTGCCTTCAGCCTCGGCCTCAGCCTCGCCTGCCTCAGCCTCAGCCTGCATGCCTCAGCCTCAGCCTCAGCCTGCCTCAGAGCCTGCCTCAGCCTCAGCCTCAGCCTCAGCCTCAGCCTGCTTCAGCCTCAGCCTCAGTCTGCCTTCAGCCTCGGCCTCAGCCTCAGCCTCAGCCTGCCTCAGCCTCAGCCTGCATCAGCCTCAGCCTCAGCCTCAGCCTGCCTCAGCTCAGCCCTCAGCCTCAGCCTCAGCCTCAGCCTCAGCCTCAGCCTGCTTCAGCCTCAGCCTCAGCCTCAGCCTGCCTCAGCCTCAGCCTGCCTCAGCCTCAGCCTCAGCCTCAGCCTCAGCCTGCCTCAGCCTCAGCCTCTGCTTCAGCCTCGGCCTCAGTCTGCCTTCAGCCTGCCTCAGCCTCAGCCTGCCTCAGCCTCAGCCTGCATCAGCCTCAGCCTCAGCCTCAGCCTGCCTCTGCCTCAGCATCAGCCTGCCTGCCTCAGCCTCAGCCTCAATCTGCCTTCAGCCTCGGCCTCAGCCTCAGCCTGCCTCAGCCTCAGCCTGCATCAGCCTCAGCCTCAGCCTCAGCCTGCATCAGTCTCAGCCTGCCTCAGCCTCAGCCTCAGCCTGCCTCAGCCTCAGCCTCAGCCTCAGCCTCAGCCTCATCTTCAGCCTCGGCTCAGCCTCAGCCTGCCTCAGCCTGCCTCAGCCTCCAGCACTCAGCCTCCTCAGCCTCCTCACAGCCTCAGCCTCAGCTCAGCCTCAGCCTCAGTCTCACCTCAGCCTCAGCCTCAGTCTGCCTTGAGCCTCGGCCTCAGCCTCGGCCTGCCTCAGCCTCAGCCTGCCTCAGTCTCAGCATCAGCCTGCCTCAGCATTCAAAATGTGGCCCGGGAATGGAATTCTGGGAACTCGAAGAACACGAAGTGGCCTACAGTTGGCCCTGGGCATTCAAAATCATGCCCAGGATTGGAATTCTGGGAACTCGAAGACCACGAAGTTCCGGGCATTCAGAATCATGCCCAGGAATGGGGTTCGGGGAACTCGAAGACCACGAAGTGGCCTACAGTTGGCTCCGGGCATTCAAAATGTGGCCCGGGAATGGAGTTCTGGGAATTCGAAGACCACGAAGTGGCCTACAGTTGGCTCCGGCCATTGAGAATGTGGCCCGGGAGTGGAGTTCTGGGACCTCAAATACTACGAAGTGTGTAATTGTTTGCTTAAAACGACTTCCGCGGCTTCTCTCCGGCACCCGCCCAGACCCCCCTGGGGAGTCAAGATGCTCAGTTTTGACACTACTAGAAACCTATCAGTCGTCAGTTAGGTAAAAATGCAGCGCCCGGATTTCAGGGAAGGCGCACCGCCAACGCACCTGCCCCCCCCCGGGCCAGGCGCATCCTCGGAAGACGAGAGCGCCCGCCTCCTCCTCCTCCTCCTCCTCTTCTTCTTCCTCCTCTTCTTCTTCTTCTTCTTCTTCTTCTTCTTCTTCTTCTTCTTCTTCTTATTATTATTAGTAGTAGTATTCTTCTTCTTCTTATTATTATTATTATTCTTCCTCTTCTTACTTTTATTATTATTATTCCTACTACTATTATTACGATTATTATTAGCATTATTATTATGATTATTATTAATACTATTTTATAATGAATATTCTTTGTAGTATTAATATTATTCTTAATAGTATTATTGTTATTCGTATTACTACTATTATTCGTCTTCTTATTTCCCCCATCAGGTTCAGTAATCTGATTATTATTATTATTATCATTTGTGTTACTATTATTGTTATTAGTGGTAGTAGTAGTAGTAGTAGTAGTAGTAGTAGTAGTAGTAGTAGTAGTAGTAGTAGTAGTAGTAGTAGTAGTGGTAGTAGTAGTAGAAGTAGTAGTAGTTAGTAGTAGTAGTAGTAGTAGTAGTAGTAGTAGTAGTAGTAGTATTCGTCTACTGTGGAGGTCGTAGCGGATTCATTCGGTTAGGTTAGATTTGCCGCCGATTTTCGCCGCACGCCCGGGTGCCCGGGGGCGCCCGGCTGCCCGGCTGCCCGGGTGCCCGGGTGCCCGGGCGTGCCCGGGGGTGCCCGGGTGCCCGGGGGTGCCCTACAGCCCTATAGCCCTATAGCCATATAGCCCCATAACACTGCAGCTCTATAGCTCTATAGCCCTATAGCCCTGTAGCTCAATAGCCATATAGCCCTATAGCCGTATAGCCCTATAGCTCTATAGCCCTATACCCCTATACCCTATAGCCCTATAGCCCTGTAGCTCTATTACCCTATAGCCCAATAGCCATACAGCCCATATGGCCCTATAGCCCTACAGCCCTAAATTATCCCGGCAAAGCAACCTAACAGCGATGTGTAGGAGCATATCTGGAAGCATTCCCCTCAAGATTCAGATGATAATCCAGTTGTAGAATTCTGCTGTTCTCGCAGTCGCAGTCGCATTCGCGATGACAGTCGCAGTGGCAAGTGCAGTCGCAGTCACAGCCTCAGCCTCAGCCTGCCTCAGCCTCAGCCTCAGCCTGCCTCAGCCTCAGCCTGCCTCAGCCTCAGCCTCAGCCTGCTTCAGCCTCAGCCTCAGTCTGCCTTCAGCCTCGGCCTCAGCCTCAGCCTGCCTCAGCCTCAGCCTGCATCAGCCTCAGCCTCAGCCTCAGCCTGCCTCAGCATCAGCCTGCCTCAGCCTCAGCCTCAGCCTGCCTCAGCCTCAGCCTCAGCCTGCTTCAGCCTCAGCCTCAGTCTGCCTTCAGCCTCGGCCTCAGCCTCAGCCTGCCTCAGCCTCAGCCTGCATCAGCCTCAGCCTCAGCCTCAGCCTGCCTCAGCATCAGCCTGCCTCAGCCTCAGCCTCAGCCTCAGCCTCAGCCTCAGCCTCAGCCTCAGCCTGCTTCAGCCTCAGCCTCAGTCTGCCTTCAGCCTCGGCCTCAGCCTCAGCCTGCCTCAGCCTCAGCCTGCCTCTCAGCCTCAGCCTCAGCCTGCTTCAGCCTCAGCCTCAGTCTGCCTTCAGCCTCGGCCTCAGCCTCAGCCTGCCTCAGCCTCAGCCTGCATCAGCCTCAGCCTCAGCCTCAGCCTGCCTCAGCATCAGCCTGCCTCAGCCTCAGCCTCAGCCTGCCTCAGCCTCAGCCTCAGCCTGCTTCAGCCTCAGCCTCAGTCTGCCTTCAGCCTCGGCCTCAGCCTCAGCCTGCCTCAGCCTCAGCCTGCATCAGCCTCAGCCTCAGCCTCAGCCTGCCTCAGCCTCAGCCTGCTTCAGCCTCAGCCTCAGCCTTCAGCCTCTGCCTGCTTCAGCCTCAGCCTCAGTCTGCCTTCAGCCTCGGCCTACAGTTGGCTCCGGACATTCAAAATCATGCGCAGGAATGGAATTCTGGGAACTCGAAGACCACGAAGTGGCCTGCAGTTGGCTCCGAGCATTCAAAATCATGCCCAGGAATGGAATTCTGGGAATTCGAAAACCACGAAGTGGCCTACAGTTGGCTCCGAGCATTCAAAATCATGCCCAGGAAAGGAATTCTGGGACCTCGAAGACCACGAAGTGGCCTACAGTTGGCTCCGAGCATTCAAAATCATGCCCAGGAAAGGAATTCTGGGACCTCGAAGACCACGAAGTGGCCTACAATTGGCTCCGGGCATTCAAAATGTGGCCCGGGAATGGTGTTCTGGGAAGTCCAAGAGCACGAAGTGGCCTACGTTGGCTCCGGGCATCCAAAATGTAGCCCGGGAATGGCGTTCTGGGAGCGCCAAAAGCGATTTTGCAAGGATGTCCCAAGCGATTTGGGCTCCGACGGCAGCCGCCGGATTCTGTCCGGGTTCCGCCCAGACCCCCCTGAGGAGTCATGATGCTCTCTTTTGACCCTACCAGAATCCTATCAGTCTTCGCTGTTAGGTAAAACATGTTTTTTTCTCCGGTATCATTGTATTATTGTTATTATCCTTCTTCTTATGATTATTATTCTTTCTCCTCCTCCCCCTCCCCCTCCTCCCCCTCCCCCTCCTCCTCCTCCTCCTCCTCCTCCTCCTCCTCCTCCTCCTCCTCCTCCTCCTCCTCCTCCTCCTCCGCCCGTGCCAGCCACCGCTCGAGGCGTGCCGTGGACGCCGCTGCGTGCAACCGAGCCGTTCTCCCAGCAGCGTCGGCCCACGACAGCCGCGGCCAGCCTGCGCCCCGTCCGTGGAGGCGCGCCTCCTGGGGCCCTGTCGGAGCCCCGCCCCGCCTCCGCCCTCCGCCTTCCGGACCCGCGTCGTCCTGAGTTTTCTTTCCCCGTGCGGCGCCCCTGGAGGTCCACACCCGTTCCCTCGGGCGTGTCCTCCCGAGTCGCTGCTTGGCGGTCCTGGGGCCCCGCGAGGGCCCTGGGAGGCCGCAGACGGCCCCAACACCTCCCGCCGTGTGTGTGCACGGCGCCACCGTGGGTCTTTCGGACGCCCGACATGGGTACGGAAGAAATGGGCACAATGCCCAACAGCAGATGTTGTCCAAAACCAACAGCGGCCGCTGTTGGGCAGGCGGCCTTCTGTCTCGCATGGACACAGGCCGCGGCGGCGCGGACAGCGAGTCCTGTTCAGAATGAACAGGAACTGCTGTTGGGCATTGTGCCCATTTCGGCGGTGGACAAACCTCCCTTTAGTAGACCTCCCCTTAATGAAAACGGCCTGGGACCGAAACCGACGGACCTGGACCCGCAAAAATGACGGCCGCGTCGCCGTCTCGCGAACCGAAAACGGCCAATTCGATACTCGACGTGTCAGGGTAGGAGGTATGTCCACTCCCGACCATTCTTTCCGTATGCCCACTTCGTTCGTGCAGAGGTCTGGCCTCGCCTCCCCGCCTTCGGAGGCGCGAGGACGGAGGCCGGGCAGGCTGCGGGCAGGACGGCGCGGCTCCCGGCAGGCTACGGGCGCGGGCCCCGCGCGGCGCGCGCGAGCGGCGCTCCGACTCCGCGAGGGGTGCCCCCTCGGCGGCGTCGGGACGGGGGCTTCGAGAGTCTGCTCCTCTTCCTCTCCTGCTTTCTCCTTCTCCTCCTCCTCCTCCTCCTGCCCCTCCTCCTCCTCCTCCGTAGCCATCTGGCTCAAGCACCGCGTGGCTCAAGCCAGCTGGCTCAAGTGGGCCCCGCCGGCTTGAGCGGTACTCATCTTGGCTCGAGCTCGGCCTTGCCCTGCTTGCCCAAGTACCGCTCACATGCAGACCTCTCGTGCATGACGTCCTGCAGCAGCAGGCATCCGGCTTGGAGGTCACGCTGAAGCAGATGGAGCCGCAGTGTGCTGCCGCCTGTGCGGCCCTCGGTTTGTCGCGCAGCTCGCGCAGGCGTGCGCGCACCCGCGCCACGCATGCTCTCCACGTCCAGCGGGAGCGCTGCCGCCTGGTGGAGTTCCTGGCGCTCGGCGCCCCACCAGGCCTGGAGGAGTGGGCCATCATGGAAACCTATAACACGGTGCTGGCAGCGCTGGATGTGGAGCAGCACGAGATTGGCAAGGAGCTGATCGCAGAGGCACCCTCGGAAGGATCCGCCAACGTGGGCCATGGCGGAGAAGGACGAGGCGGCTGACCAAGTGCTGTACACGTCGGCGGGCGAGGAGCTGATGGAGCAGCTCGGCGAGGATCCCGAGGTCGTGGTCGAGAAGGACGTCGTCTCAGTAATTAGATGGCAAGATCGCCACCGCGACGGCGATCGACTGCGGGAACCCTGCCCGCTCGAAAGAGGAGAACGTCGATTTCACAGAGGAGGGTACCCCCTTCCTGGAGAAGGACAACAACGGCGGCGGAGAGGAGCAGGAGAAGGAGGCTGTGCAGTTCGGTCAGCCGAGCTCCTCGGACGCGGCGCAGACCGACACCATGAAGGCAGTCGTCAACGTGGCGCCCTCCGCCGAGAAGGTGCTCTACCCAGAGCCTGAGGTGTCAGGCTCTGTCTCTGAGACCGACGGTGCAGCTGAGGACGGAGATACTGTCGAAGGCACAATCGTCGGTTCGCAACCCGAGCACGCTGAAGATGCTGCTGGAGTAGCTGCTGGCGCCGATCTGGTGCCACATCAGTTACGGGAACGAAGCAATGGAGCGTAGGTATCAGTTGCACATCGCGGAAAAGAAACATATCCAGAGAATGAAGTTCGCCTCTCGCCACCTGACAATCAACTTTGTACGATGTGTATACATATATATGTATATGAATTAAGTTCACTGGCGCTTCCAGGAAGCAGAACATTCATAGAGCTCTGGTCCCCCTGGAGCCGCAGCAGATTGGAAGCGAGATGTAGCGTAAAAGGCCCCTTGAGGGTCGTCGGATTTCCCCCTTGGCCCGTGCAGCGGCGATGCTTCGCCTCTCGTTTGTGCGCGGATTCGTAATGGAAAGTCAGCCGCAGGTCGAGAGCCTCACAGTAGGTGCTTTCCTGCGGTAGCTTGGCGGAGGCAACGGCCTGCGTCCAAATTCGATTCGAGTCGAGTCGAACCACGAACCACCCCCAGCTGAGCGCTCGTCCTCCTCCTCCTCCTCCTCCTCCTCCTCCTCCTCCTTCTCCTCCTCCTCCTCTGTCCTCCTTCCTCCTGCCTCCTGCCTCCTTCCTCCTCCTCCTCCTCCTCGTCCTCCTCCTCCCCCTCCTCCTCCTCCTCCTCCTCCTCCTCCTCCTCCTCCTCCTCCTCCTCCTCCTCCTCCTCCTCCTCCTCCCTCCGCATCCTCCCTCCTCCTCCTTCTCCTTCCTCCCTCCTCCTCCCTTGCCCTCCGCCTCAGGGCCTCCCCGCTCCTGCGGCGAGCGGCGCCCTCACTCCGCGAGGGGCGCCCCCTCGGCGGCGTCGTACGGGGCCACGTCCCAGGGCGCCTCGCTGGCAGGGGGGCGCCCCGGAGGCCCAAGCGCTGCACCGTGCTCGCACTAGGCGTGTCCGCCCGGCTTCATCATGGTCATCATACTCATCATCAGCATCATTACCATCATCGTCATCATAACCATCAACATCGTAAACGTAATCATCACAACCATCAACATCATCGCCATCATCATCATCACCACCATCACCATCACCACCACCACCTGGCAATAGGTCGCCTGCCCCGTGGCCATCACGGGCAACCCCGAAGTGCACAGGCCGACAAGCGCGTCGGCGTGGCAAGCCTCCCGGCGAGCGCAGTGACACGCCAGGCTGTGCCCCGAGAGCTTGGGCGGGAGGGCTCGTCGAAGGGGTCTGCCTGAACGGCTTCAACGTACCGCTGGATGGCGGCGTGAGGGCCGTAGTTGGCGACCTTGCACTCGTTGCCCCACTCCGATGGATCGAAGTGCCAGCACGCGACAACGACGTCGCGATCGGTCGGGCCACCCAAAAAATAATATCAGAGTGAGTGGGTCGAACGGTCCTTCACTGTCCCTGCGTGCATGGCTGAAGTGGGATTCCGCGATGCGGATTATTGTTGTTAATGGTGTTGGTGGTGTTGTTGCTGCTGTTGTTGTTGGTGTTGCTGCTGCTGCTGCTGCTGTTGGTGTTGTTGTGCTGATGTGTGTGTGTTTGTTTGGTTGTTTGTTTGTGCTGGTGTTCTGATGTTGTTTTTGTTGTTGCTGTTGGTGTTGCTGTCGTCGTCGTTGTTGTTGCGTTGTTGGTTTTGCTGTTGTCGGTGGTGGTGTTGCTGTTGTTGCTGGTGGTGGTGTTGCTGTTGCTGTTGTTGTTGAAACTGTTATTGTTGTTGGTGCTGCTACTGTTGGTGTTGTTGTTATTGTTGTTGCTGGTGTTGGTATTGTTGGTGTTGATGGTGTTGATGTTGTTGTTGCTGCTTATGCTGTTGTGGTTGTTGTTGCTGTTATTATTGTTGTTATTGGTATTGTTGTTGTTATTGTTGCTGTTGTTGTTTGGCGTCGTCCCCCCTGCGACCCGCCCCGCGACCCACCCGCGACCCACCCCGTGACCCGCCCGCGACCCACCCCGTGACCCGCCCGCGACCCACTCGAGACCCACATGCGACCCACCCGCGACCCACCTGCGGCCCGGCCCGCGACCCACCCGCGACCCACCCGCGGCCCACCAGCCCACCCGCGACCCACCCCGTGATCCCCCCACATTGCTTCAACGAAAAAATTGGCGCCTGCAGCGGACTCCCTGCATGATTGGTAGAAAGTTAGGCGCCTGCGCCCGGCTTCTTCAGAGCCTCGCAGACTGACGACGTCCTCGCCGTCCCCTCGCTCGTATGCGCAACTGCGGGGTGCTAATTATAGAGGAAAGAGGACTATGCACATACACGGGTTCTGACCAGGCCCATCCTGAGCCCAGGATTGGTGCATATGCCCTCCTGCCTTGGCCAGGAAAGCATATGCACCGATCCTGGGCCCCAAATGGGCCTGGCCAGAATCGATGCATGTGCATAGTTCTCTTCGGCCGAAATTACGCGTGGGGCTCTGAGCCTGACTGTTCGCGATCTTGCGATGTGTCCGCCACGCCGGATCTCACGAGGGCTTCTGGCGTCCCACATGGGGGGGGGGCCTCGGAGCGGCTCCAGGGGCGGGGGGCCTCGGAGCGCCTCCTGTTAATTATGGTGCAGTTGATCCGTAAAGTTAAATCGGGCCTGTCCCCCTACAGGGGGATTTTCGACGAAAAAAAAACCGGAAAATTTCCTAAACAGATTCAAAAATAATCAAAACATGGTCCCCAGACTATGTTTTGATTATTTGTAGAAAACACCTCCTGTAGGGGGAAAGGCCCGACTTAACCGTAAGGCCTGCAGCAGTAATTCACACACAACGCCGTAACATGTGTGTAATGCTGTGCCCGTGGCTTCTGGCTCTCAGTTTGGAGGGAGCTCAACAACCAGCCCACCATCCCAAGAGGTGGGGGAGCCGGAACCAACTGGCACATTGCAGGTTGGCCGCGAGGCCAGAAAAAAGAGGGGGGGGACCTCTCTGGGGGCCTCCGGGGACCTCGGAGGACTTCGGCAGACCCCCCGCAGGGCTTCGGAAGGCCTCCGGGGACCTCCGGGGACCTCGGCGGACCTCGGCAGGCCTCGGGAGACCTCCGGAGGACCTCGGGGGGGGCCTCGGGGGGGGCCTTTGGGGAGGGCTTCGCGAGGGGGCCTCGCGAGGGGGCCGCGCGAGGGGGGGGGGGCCTCGCGGAGGACCTCCCAAGGACCTTTTCTTGCGGGGCAGGCCCCCGAGGGGGGGGGGGGATGCTGCGGTAGGGCGAGCCTCGGCGGGGCCCCAGCGAGGCCTTCCTCCTCCGGGGAGGAGGGGGGGCCCCGAGAGCCGACGCTGCACGCCTAGAGCCCTGGACCCCCCTCCTCCTCTTCCTCCTCCTCCTCCTCCTCCTCCTCCTCCTCCTCTCCTCCTCCCTCCTCCTCCTCCTCCTCCTCCTCCTCCTCCCTCCCCTCCCCCTCCTCCCCCTCCCCCCTCCCCCCTCCCCTCCCCCTCCCCCTCCCCCTTCCTCCTCAATCTTTCTGCTGCCTCTTCTCGGGGGCGGCCAAGAGGGGGGCGTCCCAGAGGGGGGGGGGCGAACATCATGGCCGGCGGCACGTGCGCGGCCCAAGGGGGGTGCCAGGGAAGTAAGGAAAGAAGAAGAGGCGCCATGAAAGCTGTGGAATATCATGGCCCACGCCATGATGCCGTCATCACCCCTCTCTTGGCCACCCCTGATTTTCGGGCCGGCCGGATCGATATGTGATGGCCCAGGGACTCTCGGGGGTTCGTCAGGTAGCGAAGGGGGCATAAACGCGTGGGCGACGAAACTTTCCCCGCTCGCGCACCTGTCGGGCCCGCGGTGGCAGTTCAGGGGCCACTTTGGCGCCGCCTTCCTGCAATCCTCGATCCCCCCACGCTTATTGCCCCCCGTCTCCTCCTCCTCCTCCTCCTCCTCCTCCTCCTCCTCCTCCTCCTCCTCCTCCTCCTCCTCCTCCTCCTCCCCCTCCTACTACTTCTCCTCCTCTTACCCCCGTTGCCGTCCGCCGTGTTCGGCACCAGGCGAAAACGCCACGCGTGACAAAAATGGCAGCGCCCGGATCTCCGGGGCTGGCCCCGTCGCCAGGCAAGATCTGATCTGCATTCATGCGCGGCGCCAGAGGTCCCCCATTCCCTTTCCCGGGATCAGGTTGTCGTCCCAGAGTCATTCCTGATGGCCCCAGCGCCCGATGACCAGGCCAGCCCTAGAGTTAAGTCGGGCCTGTCCACCTACAGGCCGATTTTCGATGGGAAATTCATTTAAACATAGCGGGAAATACTCACTAATTATAAAAAATTGTATTGCTTGACTATCTTTGAATATTCCTCCTGTAGAGGGACAGGCCCGACTTAACCCTGGAGGCCGAAATCAAGGGAAAAGCACATGATGCAGGACAAAGAAAAAGGCAGGCAGGAGAGGGGAGAAAGGCCGAACGCGTTGCGTGGGCATCCCCGATGGCTCCGCCAGCCATTTGAATGAACACACAACGAACGCAACGGAGGAGGAGGAGGAGGAGGAGAAGCAGGAGGAGTAGGAGGGGAAGGAGAGGAGGAGGAGGAGGAGGAGGAGGAGGAGAAGGATGCCCAAGAAGCGCTCCAAATGGCCCCAAGGCGGCTCAGGGGGCCCCGAAACGGCCTATGAATGCCCCTAGACGACCTATTCGGCCCCCAAGAGAGGCCAACTGGGCCCACAAGGCCCCCACGAGAGCTCGCGAGCGTCGTCGTCGTCATCGTCGTCGTCATCGTCGCCGTCATCGTCATCTTCATCTTCATCGTCGTCGTCGGGGGACCACCCTCATTTGGTCTGGGGCTCGACTCGAGACCCCCGACCACAACCCAGGAAACCTCCACTAGCGCCCCTTGACAGCTACTTCTGACACGTCGGCGCAGCTTCGCAACTTACCCGAGCACCCATATCAAGACGCTCCCGGCGCCACCACATTAGAGGATTTCTGCTCCGATGTCGCTCCACAATGCCCCCTGGCGAAGCTATCTCTTCTTCTTGTGCTTTCCCAGTCTCCCCACCGTTTTCGGACCCCAGGGACTGTCGTATATTACCTCCGGCCGACCCTGGTGCTCATCTGCTGCCTCTCCTCCTCGCATACAAGGTCGGCGGGCCATAATTACATGGGCAAAGCCTTCCCAATACAACGAAAGGCAACGGAGGAGAAGGGAGGACAGCAGAGGGGAGGGAGGGAGCAGGGAGGAGAAGGGAGGACAGCAAGTCCATGCACGCAAGTGGCCGAACCTCCCGTAGGTACACACCGGATCTCATCGGGGGCATCCAAGAGGGAGGCGTCCAAGAGGGGGGCTCGCAAGTCATGGCCCGAGGCATGTGGGCGGCCCAGAAAGGGCCAAGGGACGACTTCAAATAAGAAGAGGCGCCATTTTAGACTGGAGCGATGGGGGCAACGCCGATGGGGGTGCGGTGGTAGGTGCAATATTTCGCTTGTGCGAACTCTTGCGCCAACTAATGCTGGAGGGCGCGAACTATTGCAAAGAGCATGAACTATTGCGCAAAAGATTGCGTTTGAAAGAATGCACGATTGCATCCACACGCAATGGTTGCGTCCAAACCGCACGTGCTAAACTATTGCACCGACTCCGGCCCCCCCATCTACGCTACCACCACTATTTACGTTTAAAGTCAGTAGACCTGGGAAGAATGTCGTGGCCCTGGCCATGATATCCACCCCACCCTAGTCATCACCCCCTTTAGCCGCCCCCGATCTCAGGAAGCTGGCCCCCAGACACAATCGAAAACTCACTAAAAAACTCGACCATCGAGACTCGATCCTACATGCTCCTCCTCCCTCCTCCATCGTCCATCCGTCTTCCCTCCTCCGTCCGCGGCCGTTAGCAGCGCCTCGTCCCCGGGCCCCTCGTCTTCGGGCGCGTCGGGCGCGTCGCCGGCCACAAGGGGCGCGTCCCACTCGGGGGCGCCAGCGAGCGGCTCGTCGTCGGCCGCCTCCCACGGTGCGGCGCCGTCGCCGATTGTGGGCGCAGCGCCGGCGAGGCTGTCGTCGGGAGCCTCGGAGGGGTCGTCGGGGGCCTGTCGGCGCGGCGATGACAACCCCGACGTGCTAACGTCATGAAAAAAACAATAACAACGGGACCTTCAAAACAACTGCACGGACCTGCAGGAGGGCCCGTATATAAAAAATGGCAGGTCTGGGGGAGCGTCCTGGATCGAACACAAGCACAAATTCACAAATGTCCAGCGGATTGAAGTGTTCAGTCCAAGCGGTTGTTTCCTTCATCTCGGCCTCCCGGGGACCGCGTTGGGCCTCGGGGCCTTCAAGAAAGGGTTCGGGGACGAAAAACTGCCCCCACGGAAGTGGTCGATGCCTCCCTGAAGCCGCAGTCGGACAAAAAAACGAATCGCCGGATGTCTGTGAGTTTGCGCCGCAAGCCTTTCCGCCTCTGGAGGCCCATGTCGGCCCCAAAGGCTTCCAAACAAATAGCCAGGGGTAACATGAAGGGAGAAAGAGAGAGAGAGAGAGAGAACAAGAGAAAAAGAGAGAGAGAGAGAGACAGCCAGAGACAGAGAAAGAGAGAGAGTGATAACAAAACAAAAGAAAAAAGGAGAGAAAGAGAAAAAGAGAGAGAGAGAGATCTGGCGCGAGGGCTGCGAGCGCCCTCCACGCCAGCCTCACGTGGCGGGACGCACCGATGTGCGAACAGGGGTGGGGAGACTACCCCCTTCCCCTGGCGGGGCCTGCGGGGGCCCCGACTGGGAAGTAGGAGCGGGCGGGGCAGGAAGGGCGAAACTCTCCCCTTTTATACGCCCGCAAACAAAGAGATGCCGGCTGTACATACACTTCGGCATGCGTGATGCGGCGCCCTGGCAGTAGCGGCGCCGCTTTGGGGCAGCCCCCGCAGCGGCCCAAACCAGATGGCAACAGAACCGTGGCCAACAGTTCACGATGCCCACAGGGAGGAGGGGCGCTAGCACTTGCGCGCCGCACGTTGAGCAGCAAGGAGACTGTCCTGGAGAGGCGCCCCTAGGGAGGCAGCAGGCTGGAAGGCCTGCTGCAAGTCGTCCCAGGCCGCTCGTGCACGGTGGAAACCGTCAAGCGCCGGAGCTGACTGTCAATGGATGCGCTGGGGACATTGGGCGAAAAGGTTGGGCACAGCGCGCTGATGCTAGCGATGGGGCCCGCTTCGCGGTCACCGTCAGGTTGCCGTGTAACCGCCGAGAAATACCGCGCGAAGGTTTGCCTGCGGTCGGAACGCTGGAAGCGCCGTGCCCCGTGCTGGTGGCGGCGTTTGGCCGTTCACTTCTCCCAGTGCCCTTGTGGCAGGATAAGCTTTCCTGATGGCGGTGGGAGCTGGCGACGGTGGCCTGGGCGGGGGGATCGCGAGCCGCCTCGCCCTGGCCGCTGAGGGGGCACGATTGGAACGCACCGCGCGGGGGGGCGCGGTCGCTGCGTTCGTCGCGCTGGCGCCGTCGCTCATGGAGACGCCGAGCCCGAGCGGGTCCAGCACGTCTCCGTCAAGGTAATCGATCGGGCCCGGGCACGGATCGTCGAGGTCGTCGATGTAGCCAGGCCCTGGTGGATCGCCCAGATGGTCGGGGCCGCCTGGCGAGCCTGGCGGCTCGTTCTCGCCTTGGCCTGTGGCGAGAGGGTTGGGCTTCATCTTGCGAGAGGGCTAGCCTTGGCCGTCGGCGAGAAGCGGGCGTGCTCCGGCGGAGGCAGACTCCATCGGTGACAGCGTCGGCCCATCGGGAACCAGTCGTCGGCGCATCCCGCGTCGGGGTCACCGCCGGGGCCCTCCAGCGCCGGGCGCAGAATGGGCCGCGGGGGCCCGTCCTCGGCGAGGGCGACCTGGAGATCAAGGAGCTCGAAGTCTTCCTCCAGCGGGCCGCGTTGTCTAGCATGCGGCGGCAGGTCACGACACTGCTGCTCGGTGATCATGGTTTTCAGCGCAGTCCTCTCGGATTCCCAGCACGTACATTTCCAGCGCTCCCGATGTCATTCTCCCTGGTTGTGCCATCTGCGCAGCGGGAAGGCCGGCCGAGATGCTGGCCCCGACGTTTCCTTGCTGGGCGCGGTCGCCCCCGCAGAGGCAGCCGGCAAGGAGACCGACCTGCCGCGCCAGGCAGTTGGCCTTGAATTTGGCACGGAGAAACCACGCGTCAGCGAAGTAATCGCGACCCTGCTGGACAGCGGCGACGGCCCCCAGGTCGCGACCGATGGTCGCGACGCGTCGAAAGAATAACGTTCTGCGCGAAGCACGGAGCACGCAAGTGGACACCCCTGCTGGCAAGTGTTTCCATGACAATGGGGATGCCTCAGTCGTCGCACGTCGCACCTCAGGCTGCTCTACCCATTGGGCCTCCTTGGAAGGTTGCGCGCGGTCGCGCAGCAATTTGGGCTTGGCGTCGAGACTGGTGCCTCTCCGCGCCTGCCTTCTAAGACCGAGCGAGGCTTCCCTTTGCGATATAGCAACCATCTCGACGGCGCGCCGAGGGGCGACGAGAGCATGGAGGGCCCGCGGCTTTATGGCTCTCTGGATGGGCGCTTGAATGTCGACACAGGCGGGGCACGCGCTGGCCGCGACGGACCCTGCGCAACGCGATCTCGCTTGAGTGCCCTCGGAGGGGCGTCCGACACGTGGCAGCCCGGCGACGGCCCGCCCAACCCTGGCGTCAGCGACGGTCTCGAGGTTCAATTTGGCGCGGTCGACAACAGGCGCGACGTTGATGTAGCCCCCCGCAGGTTTCACCTGGAAGTGAGCTTGCAGCGCCTGCAAGGGAGGCCACCTGGCGGTGGAACTCATCGCCAGCGGCCCGGCCCACCACGCTGCCAGGGAGAATCTCCTGGCCAGACAACCCGTCGAAGAGGACGGCCTCGTCGACTGACGTCTGGACCCCCCAGCGGCAGGGGCCGCGGAGTCGCTGTCGTCAACGCACGTTGAAGTCAATGAGCGGAGAGCGCGCGCCAGCGCCGCCCCATGGCCCGCGCGCGGAGTTCGACGTCGTCGGGGGCGAAAGCTACCTTGGTGGTGGCCGTTGGCGCGGGCCAGGTATGGAGTAGGCTCCGCTGGCACGGATGAATATCCTCCGGTTGTCGCACAGATGCCGCCCGCCTTGGGCGGCGCCGGGCGGGGCACGGCGCGCAGCGCCAGATTGAAGCAGATGTCCGCGACGAAGTGATCGAAGCGCGTCGACGCCTAACGCTGCCCCTGCCAGGGGGGCTTGGAGATGGCGCGCGCGCTTTACCTGGGGCGCCGGGGTTGCGAGACGTCTCCCACGGCGGCGCGCGCGGCCCCGGGGCTAAGGGCCCAGAGCTCTCCAGGCGGCCAAGCTGCGGCAGGCCAGCGCATCCCCGAAAAACATCCAGATGGACACAACGGAAAGGGGCCGCCGATCAGCGGAAGCTCACCTTTTCATTCCCGCGGGCACAGGTCCGGCACGCGCAGGAAGAGGCTCGGGAATTCGACCCGCGCCCTGCACGGCCCTCAATGCTTGCGCGACAAGGCGGAGAACTCCATCGTGAAGCATTCTAGCCTCCCTAGTTAGTGGCGCACCCTATCGGGCCCCCAGCCTGGGCGACGGGGCGGGCGCCAGCGAAACGGATGCGAGTCTCGTCAGTCAGGGCGAACGCGCGGGCCGGTGCCGGCTCGAGGAGTCCCTGGCGGCACTTCGCTTCGAAGTCTTCCTTGCGGGAGGGGCTTCATCAGCGTGGGAGCCCGCGCTTCGGCATCTGCCCACGGTGGGCCCGCCCGTGTCCGCCATGAGTTTGAGCGCGGCTCTGGCGTTGGCCAGGATGGCGCGCTGGTTTGGCTCCAACGGGGCGCGTTCGTCGGAGCCGCGCGCGTAATCCGATGCAGAGTTGATCGGGGCGGCGATGGGCGCAGCGCTGGAATGCGACTTGGCGCCAGCGCCGCCCGCGTCATCCGCGGGGCACCTGCTCTTCGCTTCTCGGCCCCCGTCGGGGCCGGGCGGCGCGAGGGGTGCCTGTTTCGCGGGGCGCGATGGTAGATGGCGATGAAATTGCCAGCTGCTTTGATCCACTCGCTCTTCGCATCGCGCCCGCCACTGGCTCGCGCGCGCTTTGCAAGCGTTAGCGCGGCTGGTTCTGTCGGGAGGCGATCGGGTTATCAGATGGATGGTCGGCAGGAGTTCCGTCGCTGACCCAGACTCGCGGGGGCCCTGTCAGGCTGGTGCCGCGGCGGCGTTTGGCGAAGACGTTAGACGCAGCCTGGGTGCTCTTGGTCTGCGCGCACGCGGCAGGGTGGCCGGCGCCGCAAACGCCGCAGCGGCCCCGACGGGGCGCCAGGCCCTTCCCGATGGCCCAGAATTGCCCCAGTAGCTCGCCGAGAACGATAGTGGCTCCATTGGCCGTTCCGTTCTCCGGATGCGCAAATGGCGCAGCGCATGCATCCTGAAATGCGGCTCCTCGCCGCGCTTCGCGAGGTCTCTCCTTGGCCCTGCGGCGGGCGCCTGCCGCGGGGCCCTGCGTGGAAAGCATGCGCCGCTCGCCTTGCAAGGTCAAAGATCTCGCCGACGTCCCCGGCAGCATCGCGCGGGCGCGCTCGACGCAGCGCCCGCGCGATGGCAGCTCACCCCAGCCCATCGCCGGGCAGGCTGGCGGGCAGGGCGCCGCCGCATCCTTGCAGGATGCCTGGCGAAGTCGAGGTAGATGGAGACAGCGAGGCCGAGGCGCCGCTCGGCGTGGGGGCAACGCAGAAGGTCAGAAGGACAAAGTTTGCAACGCGCTGTTTCGCTGCGGGGTTGGCGTGGGGCGCACTCGATGCGCATCCCCCTCGCGCCAGCGGCGCGTCGGTCCCGATCGATTTCGGCCGCAGAAGCACGCCCGCGCTAGGGCAGCCCGCCGCGGCAGTCCACCCGAGGCCGAGGGCGCTAGCGTGGACAGCCGAGTCCTTCAGGCCGCATTGGGCGCCCACGCATACGCACGTCTACCACCCAATTGGCCGCGCACCAGACACGTTGAAACAAGGCTGTGTTGTCGGCGCCCGATTTGATGTATACCGACGCTGCGAAGATGCCTTCGGCGAGGGCTCGGCGGCGGCCTCTCCGCCCAGTTGCCCGCCTGGCGGCGGTGGCGAGAGCAATAATGGGGAGGAGACGTGCCGCTCGTCGCCCTCGAGCGGGAAACATACCCGTACCCTTGCCTAGACAGGGTGGCAAGTGGCGGGGGGGCAACTCGCCGCAGCTGTCGGCGGCCGCGCACATGTAGATGCGACGGCCGATTGAACATTACAGGAAGCTGTCTTCGCCAGGCGCACGGCGGCACCGATTGCATGTGCGCTCGAATAGGCCGAGTGACCAACTCCGCGTTGGTCGCCGCCGAACTAGACCAGCTAATTCGGAGGTGCGCCTCCAGAGGCCTTATCCCAGCGTTGCGGGGTCAACGCGCACTCGGGGGCGCGCATGGGCAATTTTGGCGCGAACGCCACTGCGCGACAACCGCTCAATCGCGAATTGCTCGATGCAGAAGCATCGCGACTCCGAGCGCTGGCCGAGGTCGCCAAAGGCCGCCCCCCCTGGACGGCCCTCCGAGAATCGCCGCAGCTAGGTCCAGGCACGTCATAAAATCCTGAGACAGACACGCACCTAGCCGAGGCGTCCGAGAGCCACCACAGCTGGGTCTGGGCATGTCTCCTGGTTCAGACACATACCCGTGCCAAACCGAGGTGGCGGCACGCCCAAGAACGCTCTCGAGCACATCTCATGCCCTCCAGAGCCGTCCCCGACGCGGCCGCTGCGGCCCCCTGAGGGGCGCGACGCTGCAACGTCGCTCCTCAGGATGAGCACGGACGCATCAGTTTCCAAGATAGCGAGGACATGTCGTTGTTCCACCAAATGGGACAAGCGCCGCCACTCCCGCGCAGTCCTGAGCCGCACGCGCACCGCGATGCCCCCAGAAGTCCTTCAAAAAAAGCAGCGCTTGTCGTTGCAATCGAACAGCTAACCATTGAACGCGCCATTGCGTCTGGACGCGCGAATGCTGCGCTGGCGCGCGGGGCAAGCTGACCGGGCACATTGGCAAGCGCCCAATCCCGCGGACGGCCCATCTCACCCTGGCTGATCTTGGGCAAAGGTATGTTTCGGACCAGTGAATCGCGCGGTCGCGGGAAGGCCTGCGACGGTTGGGTCGTCCTTGGACGCGTCAGCCAGCGCTCCTTGCGCAGCGATGCACGCTGCCCTCCGCGTTTGGCGGTCGCGGAGCGCACTCTGCGATGAACGCCCCCTTCCGCGCCCGTCCCGCTGGACGCGGTTGCTCAGTGGGCTGCGACCCCGCGCTGGTCGTCAGGCTCCCATGTCTGGTGAGCAGATGCACCTGTCGAAAGTGCGAGCGCGGTCGGCGCCTCGACGCACCCGTCGGCCGCCGGGGGAAGGACCGAGGGAACGGCGACCCGGCGGCTGCGGGCGGCGGCGCGACGGGGGCAGGCGCCGTCGCCTGCGCCGCCGCCAGGAAAAGCGGAAGCGAAAGCGAACGCAAAAGAGCGGCAGCGCTTGCAGCTGCGCTCGGGAGCGGTCGCTCCCGCGCGCGGCGCCGCGCCGGCGGGGGCCTGCACCGCCGCCTCGACGTCCTCGCCGATGTCGATGTCCTTGCTGCCGTCGTCGAAGTCCACCTCCGAGTGGTCGGGGCCGATCTCCAGGGGACCTTGGCTGGTGCCCTACAGGCGCGCCAGGTACACTGGCCCCCAAGAGCTGGCGCTCGGGCTGCCGACCCCTTGCGCGGGGAGCCCGGCGTCGCCTGCGCGCGCGGCGAAGCTCGGAGCCTCGCCGGGCGATGCGATGAGGTTCTCTTCGGGCGCCCTGGCCCTGCACGTCGCGACCCCGAGGTTTGCCGACTCCGACTCGCTGGGAGATCCGCACTGCGGATGGTCGCGCGTAGGAGTACCTTCCTGCTTGCTGGGCCCGCAGTGCTAGAGCTGTGGCGCCGCGCTCTACGGCGGCGCCCCAGGCGGGGCCTCGGACCTCTGGATCCACGCCTGTTCAGCTGCGAGTTCTGGGCCGGAAAGGCCCAGCAAGGCTGTCCCTGGTGCCCGTCGGCGCTCGTTTGGGTCTCGCGCTGGTTCGTGCTGTCGCTTGGCATGCCTTGGCTCGTCGTTCTCTGGGGCTCACTTTTTGCGAGCGCACTGGGCGTTGGGTGGAGCAACCCTTCTCGGCGACGGCGACAGCGAGTCGGAGGGCGTTCCCCCTCCCTGGGCAGCGCGTCGCCCGGGCCCAGGAGGCCTTTGCCATGGCGGCGATAGCTCGCGGTCGAGCCTTTCGAGCTCGCCCTTGTCACCCATGTCTTTCCGCGGCCGCAAAACCACTTGGGGTCGTGACTGCTGCTCGCCGTCAGCTTCGGCGTTGACTGTCCCGCTCGCGGTGCGATCCACGCCTGGTGGCGGGTGGCTTGGTTGTCTGGGAGTGAGCTGAGCAGATTCCTTTGCCGCGCCTGCGTCGACTGGCGACGATCGTTCAGGACGCGAGAGCTCAAGCATCGGAGGCCCTGGCACAGTCTGTCTTGGATCCCCGAGGGCGCCGTAGGTCGGCCCCTGGATCGCGACTTGGCTGTGGGTCTGCGGGTCGCGGCCAAGCTGGACCACTGGGGCCTGCCTTGTCTCGAATAAACTATGTTGCCCCTCGCCAGCGGGTGGCGAACTTCCCTAGCCGCATGGCCGTCAAGTCGGAAGGCGACCATGCCGCCGCTGTATCCTGAAAGGACGTCGAAGACGATAGACTGAGGATGCAACGGGGTTCCACGCCAGAGTAGTTCGACGTCGAATCATCTGGCTCTGTGTCTGGACCCTTCTGACGAGGAGTTCCATGGCTTGTTGCACTGACAGGGCTCTCCTTTGTTACTCGGTGCAGCCCGAGAGAACGTACCTCGAGGGCTGGTTTGCCTGACTGGTGGCGAGCGCAGCGCTGCTAAGCATGTCGCGGTCGGGGGAGAAGATGACCACTCCTTCCGCTTTGAAGAGTGGCCGCTCTGGCTCGCAGGCGGGCTCGTCCCTGAGCGTGACAGTCCTGGTGTTGGCTTAGTTGCCTGCGAGTGGGCTCGTGGCGCTGTCTGGTGACGCCGCCGTCGCCCCACGGTGGCCCTGCTTCTTGAAGCCATCCCTGATGGGTGGCATTGTTGGAAAAAGCGGCCCTTTGCTTACGCAGCTGTCAAAAGCCCCCGGTCCGCATCCATGGTCAGAGTTTGTTTGGGTTGGGTTGCTCGGGCCGTGCTCGTCAAGGGCAGCTCCGGTGCTGCGACAATTGAAGCCGCAAGCGTTGCTCTCGTTGACGGAGGCGAAGGAGCAAAGCCAGTTGTTTGCTGCGTGCCTTCCTTTTTTTCCTCTGTGGACCACCTCATGCTGTGTCCCTGTGTGCACCATGGGCAGAGGAGGCGATGCTGGTGCCCAGCCTGGCTGTAGTAGAGGTGCTGGGCACAGGTAGGGCAGGCGTTGCAGTCACAGTGCGCGTCGGTGCAAACCCATCGGCCTGGCAGGGCGTCCTTGAATGTGGGTATTTTTCGCCACGGAACGTCGGGCCCCCAGCCATCCTCGGTGGCCGTGACGGCCAGTGAGGGACTGGCCATGTGGTCTGTGAAATGTTGTGGTCGCATGTTCGGGCGGCCGTCGTCGATGTCGGTCAGCACCTCGTGGCCGCCGTCGGGGTGTCTGTCGCAGGCCCATCGGTGCCTTGCGCTGTCGTTGAAAAGGGTCCAGCCTTTCAACTAGGAGTCTGGTTTGGCCTTGTACCCCTTGGTTGCGACCCTCCGGAGCAGGAAGGAGCCGTCGTGCGTCTGATAATTTGCCTGGCGCGTCGACGAGGTGCCATCCCAGAGCGCACGCCGTGCCTGGTCGGTGTCTGGCGCGCCAGTGTGATACGCAGTGGGCCATTGCTGTGGGATCGAGTTGGTGCTCGTCCATCAGCGTGTCGATGTCCATGGCATGGTTGCTGCCATCTGTGGATGAGCTGTGGACGTCAATGGCCACTTCAAGGGCTTCCCCGCGTCGGAGAATGCCTGAACCGTCGGATGTCTGCGGAATTGCGCCGCATGCTTTCCCACCTCTGGAGGCCCGCTTCGGCCTCAGGGACCGCCAAAACAATGATTCAGAGGAACATGCAGGGAGAAGAGAAAGGAAGAGCGCGATACTAGTAATAATGATAATGAGAGTACAAATGACAACACAAATATTAGTACTCACCATAACTACGAATAATGAGATGTTCTGCATAAGAAGAAGAAGGAAATACAACAATAAGCATACTATGAGTAAGAAAGCAAGAAGAAGAGAGCGAGCGGAGAAGAGAGGCGAGGATAGGAGAGGAGAGAAAAGGAGGAGAGGAGAGAAGAGGAGAGGAGAAGAGAAGAGGAGAGAGAAGAGGACAGGAGAAGAAAAGAGGAGAGGAGAGAGGAGAGGAGAGAGGGGAATATAAATATATATATATATATATATATATATAAAAAAAAGAGAGAGAGAGAGAGAGAGAGAGAGAGACCGGCCGGAGTGGACCCGAGAGGGCTCAGGGACCCGTTTGCGGCGGAGCTCCTCGAAGTCGTCCAGCCCTTCGGCATCGGCGCTCCGGGCTTGCTCCCCCCGCAGCTCCGGCAGCTCGTCGGACCCGAGGACCCTGAGCCTGAGGGGCAACGATCGGCAACGTCGAACTGGAATTGGCGACACATCGCCGATGGCTCGGCGATAGGCCCCCGGTTGCGAAGCCGCACATTCCTGGGCGGTGGTGGGCGATCCACCGATCGGCGATGAATAGGCGATTGGGGGTTGATGCATCGGAGCATCTCCCCCCCGAACGTTGTCCATGAGAGCCCCCGAACGGCGGCAACCATCGTGGGGATCAGGCGCTCCAGTGCGCGCGACGTCTGCCCAGCCGTGCTGACCTGGTACTCCAAGGGCATGGACGCCAGCAGCTCGTCCACGGCCTGTTCTGGGACGCAGAAAGGACATAACTGTGCGCCCTCCTCGGGGGGCACACGTTCGAACCGAACACATCGTAGAGACATCTTATACAGTGGAGGCCAGTCCACAAGAAACCTTCCACAAGAAATCCAACACTGAGACCCCAGGACGACCACGGATGTTTGGTGTGGGAGCGCCACGCTCTCCATAGCAAAACCACCGAAACCCAAGAAACCCAGGGCACCCTGGAGGCGAGCAGGGTGTTTCTTGGCATGGGCCTCCACTGTACAGCACATCGTTGCCCGAGCGGTGTGGCGAGGAAGCGTGCCCCGTCGCCGAGCACTTTCCCCAAGCAATGCTTGCCTTTAGGAGTCCTTGCTTCTGTTCGAAGGAGCTGGGCCGTTTCTTCGGTCTGGCGGCTATGAGGCCGCCGTCGCCGCCCGTCGTCTGGGCAGTGTATTCGACCTGGCGGCTATGTGGCCACCGTGGCCACCACGTCGCCGCCTCGTCGCCGCCCTAGACTGCACAACACATATTGCACCGCATATATTGCACCACATGAAATGCACCACATAGTTTGCACAACCAAATTTGCACCGCATCTATTGTACCACATGGATAGCACAACATATCTTGAACGCCATATAGTACACAACATGTACTGCACCACATAATTAGCACGACATGAGTTGCACCGCGTAGAGCACACAATTGACTGCCTCACATAGATTGCACAATTTAGACTGCACCACATAGCCTACACAACATATATTGAACCGCGTAGATTGCACCAAATGACTTGCAAACACAGATTGCACAACATAGGGTGCACAACGCAGACTGCACCACATGGACTGCACCACACATACTGCACAACCTATATTACCAGAGGTGCACTGTGCGTGGCCCAAGCTTGCGCACATATGATTAGACTTCTGAGAGAGCGCGAGTCGCTCCCTGGGGGGGGGGGGGGGGCGACGCAAACATAGCATAAGCAGCATGCTCGGGTGATGCCGGTGTCAGTGGCGCGCGTAGGGGGGTGCAGAGAGGGGGGGCGGCCTTTTGATCAGGCGGGGGGGGGGCTCAAGCGATTGGCTCAAGCGGTTGGCTCAAGCCTTGGAGTGAGAGGCCGCTCCGTCCGCTCCATCTCTCCCGCCGCGATCCCGTTATCGCTCTCTCTCCCTCGCCCCCAGCCGCGCGCAATGGCTGACGGCGCCGGCGCCGGGAGCCGGCCTCACACGCGGCAGCCAGGCACGCCCCTACGAGGCGAACGCGACGTTCGACAGCGGCTGTTCAGCCCGCTGCACACCATGGACGGGGACGAGGGCGAGGAGGAGACGAGACCAGCGGCTACCACTCCTTCTACACCTCCGGATGCAGCTCAACAGCCTGTCACCCTCAGTGCTATCGCGGAGCTCTTGGACAAGAAGTTTGATGAACGTATCCGGCCAGTCTTGGACACCGTCCGGGAGCTCCAGGACGACGTGGCAAGAGTGGAGTCGAACATGGACAATATGTGGGAGGGGATGGAGGAGAAGAACAAGGACCTCATGAACAAGATCCAGGCTGTGAATGACGATCTTCAGACCTTCACGGCGTCCGTGGGCCCAGGGGGGAGGAAGGGCGGGAACCCGCAGGACAGCAAACTCCAGCAGGACTTGCAGAACCAAATTGTGCAGCTGGAGGCCCAGATGCGCGCCCTCATGAAGAATGGGACCGAGGACACCAAGTTGATTGCAGTTTTTGGAGGTTTGGAAAGTATGGGGGACGAGTGGTCAGCATCCAAGTGGATAAAAGATCGATTGTGGGAGGGGTATGTTACGCCAGCTTCTGACTACTTCGTGAAAGGGGAGTTCAAGGGGCTGTTGTTCGCAGAATTCCCTAAACAAGAAGATCGCGACACAGCGGTTGCGACGATCAGGAGCCTGAAACATGAGACAGCTGACGGGAAACGTGTTTGGGCCAAAGAAGAGCAGCCCCTAGGCACGCGCGTTGCACGCCAGGTTCTTTTCGGAGCGAAGTGGATGCTTTCACAGTGGGGGTTCGTGAAGTCTTCCATGTGGGTGGACGAGGAGGCCTTCACCCTGCACATGGGGGACGAAAAGGTCCTGGCGGCGGTCGTGGAGGAAGGGGCCCTCAAGGTTGAGTACGAGGCCGGGTGGGAGGGCTACCTGAAGAGCGAGGATTGGGAAAAGATCCTCAAGGCCGGCCAGGACAAGCTCCTACGAAGCGCTAGGAACTCGGACGGCGCATCGGCGTTTCACACTCTGGGGAGTTTTGCGCATCACTTGTAATGGTGAGGTAGGTATTCATGCGACCGCCCTGGAGGTTTCACCAACCTTACCCTTGCCACCGAATGCTTTCCCTGACCGTTTTCAAGAACGACGGAACTGCCAAAGGCAATTCCGGAGCAGAACGACCCCAAGACCGATCTGCATGGGACGGCTTGCCTCATGGAACGTGGAGGGCCTTTCAGACGAGAAGCAGATGGACGAAACAAAGTTGGAACATATTGAGTTGGTTCTGAAGGCAGAGAACATAGATGTGCTGGGACTCCAAGAAACGCACTTGGCTGGTTCAGCATATTTTCTGCACAACGATTTCTTTGTCATTCTATCTGGCGGGAGCCTGAATGAGAGAGAGCATGTCGGAGTAGGTTTCTTGGTGTCTCCTCGCGTCCGTTGTGCTGTATTGGGCTTCGCGCAACACAGTCCCAGGTTAGCGAGCTTGCGGGTCCGAGTTGAAAGAGGACAAATGTGTTTCATTACAGGCTATGCCCCTCACAACGGGCGCCCGGCTGAGGAGCGACAGGATTTCTTCAATGATTTGGAAGACGTTGTGCAGAAAACCAAAGTCCACGGACCTATTGTCGTGTGTGGCGATCTCAACAGCAGGATTCACAAACGAGGCGCTGCGGAGCACGACGTTCTAGGGCCTTACGTTTACGGCAATCGCGAAGCCAATATAGATGCTGCGAGCAATCGGGAGCTCCTGGTGGAAACCTGCAGGTCTATGAATATGGTCGTGGCGAACACCTTCCACGAGCGCCCCGTGCACCAACAAGTCACGTACTACGACATCTCTGCACGACCTATGGACGAAATCACGGCAAACAAGTTCGCTGAGATTGATCATTTACTTGTGCATGAAAAGTGGCTTGGAGTTATTCGCGCAGTCCGGAGCAGGCGGGACATTGCCCTGCAATCGCATCATTTCGTTGTCATCGCAGACCTAGGCGTGCACATCCCGAAGAAGCTTCCCAGGGAATCCCGGGATACGCGGGACACCCGGAGTCTCGGGGAGGCTGCAGTGGCGAAGAAATTCTGCGACTGTTTTGTCGAGTTGGGACAGGACATCTTGCGCGGCGCTGGAGATGGTTGCGTCGATGCACTGGCGGAGGAAGTGCGGTCCAACATGGAGGCTGCTGCAGATGCCGCCTTGCATGTTCGCCCAGTCACGGCAAAGCGGCCGTGGATTCGAACGGCCACGCTGGACCTCATCGAGCTGCGGAACAACGCACGGGTTTTGGGGCAGTTCGCACTGGAGGCCTCGCTGAACAAGCAAATCAAATCAGCGGCCAAGAATGACCGGGCAGCATGGTTGGAAGCAGACTTGGCGGACGGAGGTTGGCCTGCAATCAAGCGCCTTCGGAAGGGGTCTGCCCGCCAACAACAAGGCAGACTTCGCAATTCGGCCGGCGACCTGGTGGATTCCAGCGAGAGGGCAGACACTTTGGCGACATATTTGCAGAACGTGCAGTGGCAACGTAGTCCAGGCGCAGGTGTCGGCGTGCCAGAGGAGCCGAAACTTGGGGCAACTCTTGACATACCCTGCGGAGAGTTCTTGACAGCGGAGCTCAAATCAGTCTTGTCGAGGTTGCGGAGAGGCAGAGCAAGTGGGCCTGACAACGTGCCGCCCGATTTCTGGGCTGTGCTTGGCAGGAGTGCGGGCGCCCTCGACATATTGCTGCGTTTGTGCAACCAGTGCTGGCATTCGAAGTCAATTCCACAGGACTGGTCGCACTTCTCAGTCACCACGCTTTTCAAGAAAGGTGACCCTGCGCTGCCTTCAAACTACCGTCCAATATCTCTACTGGCAGTTGGATACAAGGTGCTTGCGAGCCTCATCCTGCAGCGACTGCGATCTGGAGGGGTGGAGGGCCGGCTCCGCGACAACCAGTTCGGCTTCCGACGTGGTCGCGGCGCCCACTTGGCCATTCTCACCGTGCAGCGGATGCTGGACGCCGCCCAGGATCTCAAGCATGGAGAACTGACAGTGTTGCTCCTAGATTGGTCCAAGGCTTTCGATCGCATCGACCCCGGCGCCATGCAAGTGGCGCTGCGCAGGTTTGGCTTACCTGAGGAATACGTGGACATGGTCGCATCCATCTACCAGAACAAAACCTTCACCGTGCGCGACTCTGGCAAGGAATCTGGTGCCAGAGAGCAGTCCGCTGGCATTGCCCAGGGCTGTCCGCTCTCGCCACACCTGTTTATCATCGTTTTGTCTGTCATCATGGAGGACGTGAATTGGGAGCACGCAGGCAGCCGGACAGATGACGTCGAGTACGCGGACGATACAGCATTGATTTGCAAGTCGTCCGCTTGTTTGCAGCACGCCCTCGACAGCCTGCTCTCGCGGGCCGCCCCGTATGGATTATTGCCTAATTGGGACAAGACCGTGGTGCTGCAAGTTGGAGATCCGCCACCCATTTACGATCCGAACGGCCAGCCCATCCCAAAGACAGAGCAGCACATCTATCTGGGCGGTCTGCTCACCACCAGCGGCAGTGCCAGGTGCGCCGTGGCACGCAGGGTGGGCGAGGCGCGCAACTCCTTTTCGCTTCTGACGAAGGTATAGAGCCATTCTTCGTTGAGTCGGGCAAGGAAGCAACGCATATACGAAGCGTGTGTCGTCGCCAAATTGCTCTACAGTTTGGAGACGGAGCGATTGAATAAGGCAGAGTTTTCTCGCATCAATTCGTTCCATGTGCAATGCCTGCGGAAGATATGGGGCATCCGCATCCGATGATATCCCGGGTGTCCAACCAGGAAGTTCTGAAGACAGCGTCGTCGAGCCCGCTGGCAGACCAGCTAGTCGCCAAACAGATGTGTTTGTTTGGGCGGGTGGCCATGATGCCCGACGCATCTATCGCACGACGCTCCGTATTTCGACCTTCATCCACGATGTTGGCACGCCCAGGGGGCGCTCGAAAACGAGGGCGCCCAAGGGTGTCGTGGGGCCAGAGAGTCAGGGCGCATGCACTGAGCGTCGCGCAGCAGGACGAGGACCGGCTAGCAGCAACGCTGTCGAATGGTAGCGGCTCTTTCCAGAACTGGAGGGCCACTGTGCGGCAGCATTGCCGTTCTCTTTCATAGGGGCTTGCCCGCTTACTGTTGCCCCGCTCCGGTCCTCCCCCCTCTCTTCTCCCCCCCCCTCCCGCGTAAGCTAAGCAGGCGAGTCGCTATGATGCTGCTTTTCTGTTTCGCACACCATATGAACTGCAGCCGATGTGCCGTCATGGCACGGCTTCTTCGTTCGTTCGGGGGGGGGGCTGCTAAGAAGACCGGGGGCTTCTCAGAAGCCCCTGGAAGCTTCGAAGAGGGGCCTTCTGAGATGGCCCCTGCTTTCTAAGAAGCCACGCTGCTTCTTAGAGGGCCACCCCCCTCGCGCCATCCCCCTCCCAGAGATCCGACGCTTGGAACCATCATGACTGGAGCCCCGGACCCCATCTTCCTGCTGCATGTTTCGAGCTGCGTCGATCCGCGAGGGCCCCGAAGCCCGAAACAGGGCAAGATCGCCCGCTGCGACGTGTGACGAAACCTGCGACGCCAGGATCCGAGGCTCGTGCGTGCCGCCGAGCCTGCAGGATGATCTGGTGCAGCACCGCGTCCTGGCGGGACCAGAAGGAGGATCCGGCCACGACGCGCGCCCTGTGCAGCGGGACGTCGAAGGGCACGCAGGGCTGCATCGTCCTCCAGGCCCTGAGCATGCCCTTTATGTCCGCCTCCAAGACTGGGCCAGGACCGGGATAACATCGAACCGGGACAAGTCGGGGATCTCTGAGACCCAGCGGTTCTGGAGGATGTACCGGGCGGCGCGGTCATTCCAAAGCGCTTTGAAACGCTGTGAGAGCGTTCCGGGAAGCTCTGGAACTCTTGATCCTGGTCCTGGCCCCGCCCGAGCCTCGCCCCAAGCTGCGAAGTCCTTGGTCCGGCGCGGGTACTGCAGGACCTCGTTCGCGGGCCCGACCATTCCCAGGTCGTCGGCGTCCCGCATGGCCCTGCGGATCTCGCGCACCTTGGCGGCACTCCCGCAGAGGTCGCCGAGCCGCGCCCGCCTATGGAGGCGGTCGCTTTCGCTGTGCACCTTGAGGAAGATGTCGAAGTGATCGGCCGGATCTTCAGCGCCGAGCACGCGCAGCTGCCTGAGATAC